ATTCCATATTTTGTTTAAATATGTACTTTATACATATTCCAGATCCTATATGTGTAAGGTTTAGAAGCGAAAAGCCCTGATTTTAAACCAGACACTGAAAGCGATGGTTCATTGCTGTCAACTTGGTTAGGTTGACCAAATTCTGACTGTAATTAGCTTTAGTTAATATTCGAATAGGACAAAATCCAGTATTTAGCTAATAACCCTGTCAGTGTGTCAAAGGCAGGTAGCATAGAATTTTTTATACGTTATTACAGTCAGCACACTTCCTGGTGACACTGTAATCATCTGGAATGTGGTGCACACAGTGTGTGTGGGGGGGGGGGGGCACATAGAGAACGTCTGAAATCAGTCCATGTGATCACAACAGAGCAGCACTGTGACCTAATGGAGGACTGGGGGCCAAGTGTACAGCAAGTATATGTTTAAAGGGATCCTATAGTGAAAACAAACCGGCACTATAGGCTCCTCGAGTGCCCCCTCTCTCTGGACTGAAGAGAAGAAAATCCTTCAGCCACTTACGTAAATCCAGCACCTCGGCGCTGGGTCAGGCTTCGCCCATGCTCCTCCCTAATAGCTGCGCGCGCATTGAGCACTTTTCTTCCTGGCTTCCCCACTTCCTCTCATCTAGCACTCCTTCCCTTGTACTCGGGGATTTCAATATCCCACTCAACAACCCCAACTGCACTGATGCCCCTCGTCTGTTCTCTGTAACCTCCTCCTTTGGCCTTACACAATGGTCCACTTTTAATCTCGCCTTCACCAATCTGTGTACCGCCTATAATCTCTCCAATATTCCTTTTCCCCTATCTGACCACCATCTGTTGACTTTTGACATCGGCAAGACCCAATTGACACTATCGTCTGAACATCAATCTCACAGAAACCTCCAATGTCTTGACCTAGAGCATTTCTCCACTAATCTCCAAACTCTTCTTTTACCTATCTCAAACCTCACCTGTCCTAGCTCTGCAACCTCCTTCTACAATTCCACCCTCTCCTCTCAACTAGACATCATGGCACCTTCTACATTTAAATGCAGCAAGAGCCCCCAACAAAAACCTTGGCACACCAAGATGACTCGATACCTCCAAAAATGCTTCAGAACTGCTGAACACTGTTGGAGAAAGTCTCACTGTGCTTCTGACTTTCTCCACTATAAATTTATGCTGCGCTCATAAAGCTTAGCTCTTTCCTCTGCAAAAGTAAATTACTTCAATACCCTCATAACCACACTCTCCCGCGAACCCAAATGACCATTTCACACATTTAACTCTCTTCTTCGCCCTGCTGTTCCTCCTCCACCTACTAACTTGACCGCCTCAGACTTTGCAACTCACTTCACTGACAAGATCACTAGAATCAGGGAAGAGATCTCTCATCTTTCTTCTTCCCCTTACAATACTTCCCCTAACATCACTCCCTCTGCTGTTCTATGTTCATTCGCACCCGCTACAGCGGAAGAGGTTTCTGCTCTGCTCCAGTCCTCCCGCCCCACCACCTGCTCCCTAGATCCAATTCCCTTGCATCTCATCCGTACTCTGTCTTCTCTTTCTCTACCTCTCACTAAAATTCTCAATCACTCTTCTCTGGCATATTTCCATCGCCCTTCAAACAAGCAACTATAACCCCAATTCTACAGAAGCCCAACCTTGACCCTAAGTCCACATCCAACAACTGTCCTATCAAGCTACTCCCTTTTGCATCCAAGATCCTTGAAAGAGGATGCACAAAATACATCGACTTCCACTAGAATTGTTCTAGTCTGATCTAAAAAAAAAAAAGCCCTAAAAAGGTTTCTAAACATGGGTTACCAACCCTGTCTACAATAATGATGCTGCAACAACACCTTTATGCTTTTTTAAGAATTAGATGTGGTAGGGTGTTGGTTTGCTAAAAAGAGAAAAAAAATCAAGAAACTGCTTTTTGTGTAATCAGTGCTCTATAAAACCTTCAGTGAAACTAGGATGAGATAATTTCTCACAAGTTAGTAAATTAGTGTATTGGAGAACTGGTTAGCTTAAAGAGACACAATAGTCACCAGAACAACTACAGCTTAATATAGTTGTTCTGGTGTCTACAGCCTGTCACTGCAGGCATATTAATATAAACGCTGTCTTTTCAGATAAAAGGCAGTGTTTACATTACTGACTAGTAAAACCTTTAAAGGCAGTCACCGAGACGGCCTCTAGAGGTGCTTCCTGGGTCCATGCTGCACAATGTGCAGCCCTGACGTGCAGTGTCTCCCTGCACTGCAAGGAGGCACTGAACATTCCTCATTGAGACGCCTTGATTCAATGCATCACTATGAATTCATATGGGAAAGCAGTGGATTGGAGGTGAAACTGGGCTGTAGCCAACTGTGACGGACCCGCTTGGCTCTGGAATAAAGGTGAGTGAATAAACTCACCTTTTACACTGATTACGGGAGGTCCACTGACCTATTTTTTTATATTTAGCTATAGTGACAGGAATACACATTTGTATTCCTGTCACTATAGTGTTCCTTTAACAGAGAAGTGTCTGTGTGGAACAGAGCTCACTGTCTATCAGAAGAAAGACTGATACACTTTTGAGCGTTCAGTTCCGAAGTAGATCATAAAACTATTAAACCACTGATAAAAGTTGTGTGTTAAAATGTAAACAAAGACTTGACAGTGGCCTGAAGAACTTACTATCTATAGTAGTTGGAGAGAGATCAATCCATTTTGTGTTATTTGTTGCTCCCATGTGTTTCACACACAATGTTATTGATCTTCCACACACTTCACTGTATTGAAGATTGTTGATGCTATGAGCTGCTTCATTGTGCTGCAGTGTTTGAAAAAACAATATGCTGCGTGTGTAAGAGTCTCTACTGTACAAACAGAGATTCTTTAACTGCAGCCTCAATGACAATACAGTCAGCATCCCTGTGTGTCTGGATCTTGTATCTCTGATAAGCCCTCACTCTTCTCCCAGCTGAGCTTTTCCTTTTCCTGCCAGAGAATCCTTGCAGCTGTCTGAGAATAACATTCATTTCCTTCCTGGTGATGGGGTCTGCAAACGCCAGACACCCTGGCATAGGGATGAGGGGGAAGAAGGGAGCAGACAGTGCCGAAGTTAAAAGTTGGCACTGCCCCAGTTGTTAATGAACTGGTACTAGTTCTTTGATGAAAGAAAAGGAGACAGGACGCATGTACACACAATGTCACAGTGTCACAGCCCAGGGACCAAATGCAATAAAACATGCCCAATTGTCAAAGACACGCGTCTCTGATGAATGAATTCTCTGTAGACCTTTATCTAAAATGAACTATTTATTTTAATAAAAGGCTTAAATGTTATTTCCATTAATTTAACATCATATATTAGCAAAGACCACAAACAAATATACGGTGAGTGGAAATTATACTGCTGTGTACAATAGATATAGTAGATACACACTAAACATAAAATAAATGGTAATGGCAGAGCGAATTTTGTGAGCTTACATTATAATAATAACATTATTAGCATAATAAGATAACCTGCTATACACCAATAGTTAACACCAGGAGAGTGGGATAAAAAAAAAACAGAGTTTGCAAGAATACTGTGAACTGTGCCAAAGCGTACAACATAGTAAGGGAATAAAAGCATAAAGAAGAAAGAAAAAGACATGGGGTAAGAACAGAGCATTTATGTTGGGGGGGGAAAAATATATATAATTAATCCAGTAGTGTAGGGCCAGCCATAGAACACTGACCACTTCTCAGTGTTATCAGTAATCTGAAAATGCAATCCGCCCATCATTGATTGGCAAACCATCTGATATGCAGCTATCAACAATTGCAAAGGGAGCTCTAGCTGAAAATAGTGACACCATTAATGTCTGGCCAGTACACCGGGCAGCATGAGCGAGAACAGTTTTAAAGATGCACTGTGACCATTCTCCTCTACCAAAATCCTCACTAATGTCTCTCAGGACACCTTAACACGGAACCAGAACAAAATAGGGGTTCCGACATGAATCTCCACATCCAAGATGGCCGCCGATCCCTGCTGTTCCTGGAAAGTCAGAAACAGCAGAGATTGTGTGGCCGCGATCTTATTAAGAGATCGCGAGATTGCCACACACTTATGCATGCCTGCCCTGTGTCAGCTCGCCCAGCGTCAGCCCGCCCAACGTCATTTAAGGTAAGAATTCCTCCCAGTCTGCCTATTTTGTTCTGAAGCACCTAATTCCCTTGCAATTCTCCTCATAGTCCTGATTTGGTGAATAACAGGCAGAACATAATGATCTAAGGTTTTCTGGATATCATTTTTCAGGTATTGCGTGGCAGTTCTATTTCTAGCGGTAAATTCATTGGGATGTAAGAACCCATAGAATGCTAGGTATATGGCAGTTTTGATTACCATATTGGTCATGTGTTCGAAAGGAGCTGAATCTAATAAGTCGGAAGGTAAATGAAAAATGTTGTTGTGGATGGGTAGCCTTGGAGATGGTACGTGTGTATCAATCTTTTTGATTCCTTTCAGTAAGGTCCTTATCTGATATGATGAAAGGAATCCTGTATTGTTGGGGTCTCGTAGAAGCGTGTTGGATGCCCGTAAGGTACAGTTTAATTGTGTTAAATGATAATTTTAAGGTGGCAAAAAGAAGTGATCCCCAAAATAGATTCTAAAGCAAACATGTCAGGCACTTGAAACTCCGCTATAAACTTAGTAAAAATGTGAAAAGCCCTATCGTATGATTTCCTAGTGTTGACAGAAAGTGCAAGGTGAGAAACGGTCATGACACTCCTTAGTTAATATGCCCTCGTGCAGTACTCACACTCACCACTGGTTCTGTTAGGCACTGCTTCTCATTTCTTTTCGTTAAGCACTACATCTGGCCCTTGTTTAGCACCTATATATTCTGGTTTCTCCCCTCACTCCCTGTCAGATCATTATCCTTCATCCTGTACATGCTGTTTCCTGGTTACCGTGATTCTGACTCCTTGCTCCTGTGTCTTGTATCCTGTGTATCCTGATCCTATGTTCCTGTTCCGATGTCCTTATGGTCCTGTATTCTCGTCTCTGCCTGGTCCTGTGTCTCCCGTTCCAGTGTTCGCTTGCAGTGTTCCTGCCTATACTTCATTTCCAGTGATTCTGACCTTGCTGCCTTATTTACGTGTGACCTGCTTTGGGCTTTGCTCCTTGGTGTTTTTTATTTAGTGCTTGGTGGCTTAGGATCCATGCCCCACTTATATTCTGTGGTGGCTGCACGATCCTGCCTAAGGACTTTACTTTTGCCTAAGGACTATCACGTGCACTCTGCCTGCTCTATTTGTATTTATATTCATTTCTTGTATTTATATATATTTGTGGCATTGTACATATTTTGTTTTTGTATATTATATCCTTTGGTTTTCTTTAATACATATTTTCTTGATTGCTCCATTCACCGTGTCCTTGCATTATTTCTCTGCTAAGTTGGTTCCCACATTTAAAGGGACAGTGCTGTCGCAGGGCAGCACCCCTTCATGTCCTTACAGATACGTGACGTGCATGGTTTAACAAGACATTTAATCTATGAGCATGTCTTGGAATGGCAGGGCAGGGGTAGCCAGTCTGGAAGTGGTGGGCAGTGTCTGGAAGAAAGCCTGAAAACGAAACCGAGACAAATGGTCAGCTGCGATGTTTGTGAAACCTGGAACGTGAATACATGTGATAAAAAATTGGCAAGTAGCCGCTACCCATGTGAGTTTCCTCAACAGTCTCATGATGACCAAAGATGAATATCGGCCTTTATTCACAATGTGGCTAAGTTATCTGAATAACATCTGATCGAGTGACCGGACCATTTTGGTCCCCAAGCAATGGCAGCTGCCATGATCGGATACAATTCAAACAAGGCTGAAGTAGCGGAGAAGCTGGGCAGGGACTTAACGTCTGTAAGCCATGACCCCCAAAGCCAACTGATCTCCCGAGATGGCTGCAAAACCAGAGTTTGCTGCAGCATCTGACCAAAGGGTGGGTGAAATGTCAGCGAGAGGGGGAATAAACATGGCTCACTCATTCCAAGATGTGAGGAAAAAGTGCCACATGAGTAAATCAGAGGTTGCGTGAGTGTCTAACGTGATACGTAATGTGTCTGTGGTGAATTGTGGGAATAAAGAGAGTAAACGGGAAATGAAGGATCTACCCTGCGGGATGATTCTCATGGCAAAATTGAGCAACCCCAGCAGCGATTGAAGTTCCTTGCGGTTGCAAGAACCTAGTTGCAAGTAATGTTCAATGCTTAATAGGTTGCGCTTAATCTTATCCTGGGAAAGGCTAGCTTGCATGTGGATTCAGTCCAGTTGGATTCCCAGAATTTGCATGCTTGTGTCAGGACCTAAGGTCTTGTGCGGGGAGACTGGGATAGTCAGGGACTCAGAAAGAGCCAGCATGTGTGTAAGCCTTTGCCATTTAAGGCCGTGCAGATGCCATAGTGAAGGGTGGATAATGTCTGTTTTACTGAGCCATGCACCTATACCAGCCGCCAAAATGAGCCAAATGGCATTATCGATAGTGGCATATTGTAAGGAAAATTCTTCGGAGGGTATAAGGGAATTAAGGCTTGGAACAGTGGAGGAATGTGGTGCTGATAAGTCAATGATAAGTCTGGGTTTGAGAGAAGTTTTCCCAGTGACAATTCCTATGGGGTTGGTTCTCCAAGATGTGAAAGGTGAGGAAATAAAAGGCCTCAACAAAAACCCTTGCTCTACGTCAGTCCTTGTAAGTGTACACACTAACTCTGGTTCATTTAAAGTGGTTTGCAAATTGTTGCATTCTAGCGTCCCGGTTGGCAAGTGTACTAAACCCGTGTGGAACCCCTCAGACTTCCCTTTGATGATAAATTTAACCAAATGCTGTGAGGGATGTTGTTGCAACAGTGCAGCCAATAACGTGACGTTGATGTAAGTGTGGTAAGGTTTAGGGAAAACTTTATTCGGGCACATGGACTTTGCATGAGCCCTAAAACAATGAGAACACATGTGTAATAACCTACATGAACTAAAACCACAAGTGCCCACATTAAAATTTTTGCAAATTTGAGATTTGCTCACCCAGCTTATCCTTTTGGATTCTGGTAGGTCTTGCCAAGTTCGGGACAGTGGCCCTGCTCAATTTCTGCTGTATTACGGCAGACGTTTGTACCATGTGCAGTACATGCACAAGCTGGGGGTCTGAGGCCTGCAGAATAACTCAGTGTCCAGCTTACTCCAATTTATGCTGTAATTGAACTGAGTCAGAGCTACAGCCACTTTTGCAGAGAAGGAACGGTGGTAGTCATAAAAAGCACTACCACCGTATTTGTGCCCCAGATCCACCAGCTTGTGCATATAAACATCAAATTCCTCTCTTTTCTCAGGATAAACCAAGCAATATAAATCCCGAAACCCAATACAAATTCAGGAATAGACAAATTTTTTTTTTCAACCTGGGGTCTCTTGCCCTCAGAACCACTGAAATGTCCCCATACTCAAATGTCCTGTTCTCAAGAACATCCTGGGAAGCAATAAGAAGTGAGACAAGATTAACATCTTTGCCTTCCAGAATGTCCTTTTTAAGATGAGCTGGGATCATATGCGAGGGATTGATACTCTCAGGGACTTTAACTGATGCCAGAGTATTAGCGGGCATGACAGCCATTCTGCATTATTAGAAGTACCTGGGTCTGCAGGAACCTGGGGAGACCATACTGCTTCCAATTTCTCCAGTCTGTCACTAATAGTGCCAATGGAGGACATTAAGGACGTCATCATGGCATGAAGAGCCAGCAACTGAGACCCACTAGGACCTTCCCCCAGCATCAGAGTTGTCTGTGTTAGTGTTCAAAAGTCTAAACAACTCCGCTTTCCTAGCAGTAGTTGGGAAAAGAATGCATCTCCTTCGTAGTTCAGCTGTGAGGCGTGGGATAGTCCATGACCTCAGGGAAAATGGACTAGTAACATCAGCTCCTTGGGCGGGAGTGCTGGGAAGGGACTGCTCCTCAGGAATATCAGGAACTTGAGATATAACTGAAAATATATAGATGCAAATTGATTATTCTGGGACAAAGTAGCTGGGTACTGGCAGGCTAGCTAGATATCAAGTGGCGAAAAATTATGCTATTTAAAATGTGATAGATGAGTCCATACTAATTACCAAGCAGCGTGAGAGGCGCTACCTATGCATTGGCCCGAGGGGAGATTTAACCCCTTAAGGACCAAACTTCTGGAATAAAAGGGAATCATGACATGTCACACATGTCATGTGTCCTTAAGGGGTTAAAACCACTAGCTTATGCATTAAGACCGGAAAACAGAACCTAGTTGGACAACCTAAATCTCAAACAGCCAGTACCAGTCTAAAACTAGAAAGGTATAGGGTTATGACGTCGTACCTGATAAAGTTTGAGTCAGGACGAGATGCTATGCAGAAAATATGAACGAGAGGGTGGCAGTACATAACGTGCTGCGACCTATATATAAGATATGAATGAGTATCTGTGCATATAGATATATGTTAGTGGGCCAGATCATGGGCCCGAGTAAAATAAAGGAACCTACCAGATACTATTGATGAGGGGTGACAATATGACAGAGGCAGATAACAAGTTTTTCGTGCTTGTAAAGCAACCATCTGTATGATCAGGGCACCTAAGGAAAGTGAAAAGTTAAATGCCTACTAAATAACTCTTATACTAGCAAAACCTACAATAGTAACTTGAAACAAAATTACTAACCTAATAAGGCAAATATTTTTACAAAGTTGTCACAAATCAAAATTGTTTGTTATAGCAACGTGAGAGCGCAGGTGCAGATCACTGGCGCACCCCCTTCGCCCTTTAGGTTACATAACGGCACCAGACAGGGCTGCCCCCTGTCCCCCTTGCTGTTTGTCATGGCTTTGGAGCCGCTGCTGCAAGCAATTAGGCAAGATCCCAATATTCAAGGGGTCAAAGTGGGAGGGAGGGAATTTGTCGCGGCAGCCTATGCTGACGACGTACTCCTGACACTGACAAACCCGGAAGTTTCAATGGCTGCCTTAGGGGAGACGCTAAAGGAATACGGGGAGATCTCGGGATTCAAGGCCAACATGGCAAAATCCAGCGCTCTTCCGGAAAGCATGTCCCAAACCGATATAGCGTTGCTACACAGCACATACAACCTTTATACCCCCTTATGGAAAACCATAATTAAAGATTTAGAAAAATGGGCAGACAAGCCCATATCGTGGATAGGCCGGATCCACTCCATAAAAATGAACGTCCTCCTTCGGATACTATTCATGTTTCAGGCGTTGCCCATACCAAAGCCCAACTGGCACCAATCCAACAGATAATAGGCCAATTTATCTGGCAAAACAAAAGGCCATGGATATCGAGGCACGTACTGTACCGATCCAAACAGAGAGGGGGACTAGGCCTTCCGAACTTGTTCTTCTATTACCTGGCTGCCCAAATGACTCAAGTCGCATTATGGCATTCACCACTAGACGACCGGATATGGGTGGAAATCGAATCGCTTATGCTAGGGTCAGACCTACCCCAATTTGCGATGTGGATCCCGAGGGAGGACAGGCTCCTGGGGTGCGCTGTGTGTCCTGCAGTTATGACCTCCCTCCGGCTCTGGGATAAATACGGGAAGAAATATGGACTGACATCCTCCCCATCCCCCTTGATGCCCATTCTACGCAACAAAGCATTCTACCCGGGTATAGAAGCACGAAATTTCCGAAACTTAGAGAGAGCAGGTCTTCAGAGGCTACACCACCTATATCAGGGTACTGATAATGTCACATTCAACGACCTTAAACAGGGTAGGCATCTGACGCCGGCCGACTTTTTCCGCTATCTACAGATCAGGGACTTTGCCGCCCAACCTCACATTAAGGACGCAGCGAAACATCCTCTCACCTTTTTCAAACGCATATGCACCTCAGAAAACATACCTAGAGGACTGATTTCAACGCTCTATACACACTTCTGTACAGAGACTGGGGAATGGGGGGGCCTGACCTACACCGAAAAATGGGAGAAGGATCTGGGAGAGGAGCTTGAGGGAGTAGAATGGCAGGAGATATGGGAGGCGAACAATACCTCCTCGGTCTGTGTAACTCACCAGAAACAGGCCTTTAAGACAATGTTTTGCTGGTACACAACCCCAGTGACATTGTACAAAATGCACAAAACCACTACAGACTTATGTTGGAGGGGATGCGGAGCCAGGGTAACATACCTCCACATGTGGTGGGAATGCCCCAGCGCGATCCCGTTTTGGGCAGCAGTACACAACCTGGTGCAACAGGT